ACTTGACAAGCGATAAATGCGAGAAAAAATTTACACAAAGATCGCATTTACTTTCTCACCAAAAAATCATACTGGAAGGTCTTAAAGATTTCGCGTGTGATAATTGCGATAAAAAATTTCGAAAAAAACGGTATTTGCGTGTTCACCAAAGGACAGTCCATGAAGACCGGAAAGATTATCCATGCGAAAAATGCGAGAAGAAATATGGGAAAAAATCTCATTTAATTAGACACCAACAGTTAATCCATGAAGGTCGTAGAGACTTCGCATGCGACACGTGCAAGATGAAATTTGGAAAAAAACCAGATTTGTTAATGCACCAAAGGACAATCCATGAAGGTCGCAGAGATTACGCGTGCAACATATGCGAGAAGAAATTTGGACGAAAATCGGATTTTTTGCAGCACCAAAAATTAGTCCACGAAGGTCGAAGAGATTTTGCATGTAAAAATTGCGAGAAAAAATTTGGGAGACGATGTTATTTGTTGAAACATCAAAGGACAGTACATGAAGGTCGGAAAGATTACGCATGTGACAAATGCGAAAAAAAATTTGGACATAGAAACCTTTTACTTTCCCACCAAAAGATTGTACACGAAAGTCGAAAAGATTTCGCATGTGACAATTGCGAAACAATATTTGCACAAAAACAGAATTTACACATCCATTTAAGGACAGTCCATGAAGGTCGAAAAGATTTCGCATGTGACAATTGTGAGAAAAAATTTGGAGTTCGAAGCAATTTAATCAAGCACCAAAAAACAATCCATGAGGCCTCAAAGACTACGCTTGCGACAAGTGCCAGGGGAAATTTGCAAAACGAAGCGGTTTGACTAAACACCAAAAAATAGTCCACAATCGTCAGAAAGATTTCGCATGTGACAGGTGCGAGAAAAAATTTGGACAAAAATCAGATTTTTTCAAGCATCAAAGAACAGTACACGAAGGTCGCAAAGATTACACATGCGACAAGTGTGACAGGAAATGTGGAACTAAAGCAGATTAGTTGAAGCACCAAAGGTCAGTCCATGAAGGTTATAATGATCTTGAACGTGACAATTGCGGGAAGAAATTTTGACAATAATCGACTTTTCTCTTTGACCAGAGGACGATCCACGAAGGTCGTTAAAACTTTGCATGCGACTAGTTGGCGATTAAAGATTTTGATAAGTTTTTGGAAAAACTAATTATTTCTATCATACATGCAAACGTGTGTCGAACCCAACGATGATTTTGTTTTATTAAATTTTTTGAGTAATTAATTTTTTTCTTTCGACGAAGAGTCAAATCGAGCAGCTGCTTCTTCAGCCCCACAGCTTATAGTGTACCTAACCAAAACAATAACAAAATTACTTGAGCTTTGGGCAACTTGACGTCTTTGACGACTGCTTTGATGTCTTCGATGATATTTAAAGTGTAGAATCGTTATTATGACCAAAAATCGACCAATGAGTTTCTCATTTAACTGTAAAATACTTGTACAGAAGAATACTATGAAAGGATTCGGTGACACCAGGAAAAGTAACTTGAATGATATTCTATTTTTTTTTTAATATAAAAAATAATGCAAACTTTTATTTAAAATTATGATTAAAAATCACTCAATCGTCTTCAAGTGCATATTTCAATATAAAAAATATCACGTTACACACTGTACACGGTTATAATTAAGAATGATACAATTGCAAAAAATTTCAAGACCTCGCTGGTAATTCTTCGGGCTAATTTTCTTCCGCCCCGTCAAAAAGACTCATCCAGAATTCCGTACAATTGTCCTCCTCCTCCTCATCCTCGTCGTCGAATAGGCACGACGAAGATTCCTCCGAATCGTCTTGCTTCTCGTTGAGTACGCCCAGCGGAGATGTCCTGGACATGAAAGATTCTCTGATCTTATTCTCCAGTCCCAAATTGTCGACAATTGGATTCAGCGAATCGCAGCCGTGGCATCTAAACAAGATCAAGCTGTTCTCGAAGTGATTCTTGTAGATGAAATCGGTATCGCGCCTATTGCACTTCTCGCACTCCCAGGTCACCTGTACTCTCTGGGGTCTCTTCCTTCCCTTGTGGGTGAAACGCTGCTTGCCGTACTCCGCCGACAGCAACGATTTCTTCGACGGATTGAACGTGATGCCCTTGACGTCGAAGAACAGAGGCGCCCGTACTTTCATGCTCTTCATACCTCTCGCCGCGCTTTCCAGCAGTGGCTGCAGCAGCGTCCGCCGTCGGCTCGTCAGTAGATTCGCGCTCGATAATCGTCTCGCGAGAAACATTTTGGTTCGAGTATAACTACACGGAGTAAGAATAAGTTCGATTCGCGATGACAGTTCGCACAGAAGTAACGTCTTTCCAGATAATTGTGTGTGTCTGTGAATCGAATCAGACAGGTGTCGTGCGCGATCTGCGCCACTGGGCCATGTACTATCGGTCGTTTTCAAATTAGTCGTCGGTGACGGTCACGAAATCGATCGGATTTCAATCGGTTTTACACTTGGGTTGGATGTCGTTTACGAGATTATTTTCTTAACAAAGATTATTCCTTGGTGTTTCTTTAAATATTAGAAAAAATTAAAACTTCTAGCTCGTGCAGTTTTTAAATAATCTACTCTGCAAACCAAAAAATAACCCAAGGAAACCCAAGTATTTCATTAGCTCTCTCGAGTTAGGGCGATTTACTGACTTCAAGGGTTAATTCGAATTAAAATTAATGCTCTTATCTAGAAAAATTCATGCAATCAGTTGCAGGTTATGGAGCAATCCAATCACGTCGTGGGGGAGGCGGACAATTTTTACAATGAATATTACGTTTTTTCATTGCACTTGTGTACGAAGTTCTATTTAATCGATGTTTCTTTGTGTGAACTCGCTGTTGTCTATCAGGAGTTCTTTTAAAGTACTTAGTTGAATGTCGTTAAGGTAGAATTTTTAATTGTTTCAAATATTGTAAGGATAATGTATAAACAAATAAATCGATAACCTAATTGTAAACAATATGATCATTATCAAATTTGACATATTCCCTCGACACACTGATATTGTTTGTAGTAAAATGAAATTAGTTTGAACGTTATCTCTCTCGAAGTTATAATACGAGAAAACAAAATTTACTCATTCAATTTTCATGGTACTTAATAGAAATAATAATTATTTATTTGAAGCACCAAAATGGATAAAAGTGATAAGACATCTGAAGTAGCTGTTTCAGAAAATAATTTAAGTGAACGCGATGGTGTTGTTTCAAACGAAAAACAATATATTTGTAATATTTGCCAGGAGTTATTTGCTCTAGAATCAAGCTTAATAACACACCGAGACACAATTCACAATGAAAGAAAAGATTATGCATGTGACAATTGTGAGAAGAAATTTGAGTTTCGAAGTCATGTAATTAGACACCAAATATTAGAACACAAAGGCCGTAATAATTTTGCATGTGACCAATGTGAGAAGAAATTTGTGAAAAAATTGTGTTTATTTACGCACCAAAAATTAGTACATAAAGATAGTAAAGATTTCACATGCAATAAGTGCGAGCGGAAATTTGAAAATAAATCAAATTTACTCAAACATAAAAAAATATTTCACGAAGTTTTCAAAGATTACTTATGCGAAAAATGCGCGAAAAGATTTGGAAATAAACAAAGTTTGCTCATGCATATAAAGACAGTCCATGATGGTCGCAAAGACTTGACAAGCGATAAATGCGAGAAAAAATTTACACAAAGATCGCATTTACTTTCTCACCAAAAAACCATACTGGAAGGTCTTAAAGATTTCGCGTGCGATAATTGCGATAAAAAATATCGAAAAAAACAGTATTTGCTTGTTCACCAAAGAACAGTCCATGAAGACCGGAAAGATTATCCATGCGAAAAATGCGAGAAGAAATATGGGAAAAAATCTCATTTAATCAGACACCAACAGATAATCCATGAAGGTCGTAGAGACTTCGCATGCGACACGTGCAAGATGAAATTTGGAAAAAAATCAGATTTATTAATACACCAAAGGACAATCCATGAAGGTCGCAAAGATTACGCGTGCAACATATGCGAAAAGAAATTTGGACGAAAATCGGATTTTTTGCAGCACCAAAAAATAGTCCACGAAGGTCGAAGAGATTTTGCATGTAAAAATTGCGAGAGAAAATTTGGGAAACGACGTGATTTGTTGAATCATCAGAGAACAGTACATGAAGGTCGGAAAGATTACACATGCGAAAATTGTAAGAAGAAATTCGGATATAAATCAGATTTTTTTAGGCACCAAAGGTCAGTCCATGAAGGTTATAATGATCTTGAACTTGACAAGTGCGGAAAGAAATTGGGACCCAAATCGACTTTTCTCTTTGACCAGAGGACGATTCACGAGGATGAAAAGACATTTGGGAAAAAATTAATTTGAAGAGATACCAAGCAATATTTCACGAAGGTCGCAAAGATTATGCATGCCAACATTTCGAAAAGAAATGATGATCACTAACAATTGTAAATATGTATATAAATACTTGTAGAAATGTTTTTTCTGAAATTTTAATAAAAATAGTGCCTATATGATTTTGTCTTACCTGAGCCTCCAGCGTTTAACTAGCTATTATTATACCTTTGTACCCTGTCATGGTGATTTTTGATTTCTGACTCTAGACTGATTTCACATATGTTTTGAGTGTCGGATTGACTCATCAACGATGCTGGAAGTCTTTAATCATAATGTTTAGAATAATTCACTCTAATCATAATACTTAAAAAAAAGTTCACATCTCTCGCAACATTATTTATAAGTAAAGGTAGTAATTTTAGCTCAAATTGGTTCACAAGATTCTTATTTTCTTCGTTTTGATTATATATCGAGTTATTTTGTTTTGCTCGCATAATTTTCCGATAATTTATTTTTAATTAAGAAATAGTTATAACATTTTGAAATTCCAAATAAAATTTTAAAAACCTCATGTCTGTCACGTGTGCAAACAGAATTTCTACCACCTTGACTTCATGCTGCTGGTATTCATTCTGTTCATTATTTGTAAACACTTCGAGAATTCGAGATTATTCGGCTGCTAATTTTGCTCACGTTGACTAGTCGTAATTTCGATTTCAAGATTTGTGAATACTATCTAAAACCAATTTTTATTAGATTTGAAATATAGCAGCTTAAACTTGTCTTCAATTCAATGAAATGGAGTCTTGTGGTCTTACTGCCAAGTAATCATCATTGCGCAAAATTGAAATAACAAAATAACTGAGTGTAATTTTTTTTAATCATATCGATATTTTCAGAGTAAAAGAAGAACCTAATGATATGCGTTTCAACGAAAATGATAATGGTGAAACGAAAGACCAAACATCGGATTCCAAAAAACTGCAATACCTCAGATGTCAGCAAGAAAGAAACGTAAGTTGATTAATAATTATAATTAATTAATCTATATTTTTTAATTTGAAAAAATTCCAATTCCATAACAGATTCACACGTTGAATAAATACAAAGGAGTTAATGAATTTCAACCTATCCAAGAAATTAAAATAGAGTTGGAGTGTAAAGATGTAAAGCCCAGTATGAGTTTATTAGTGACTGATAAATTGAAGGATGAAACTCAGGAATATTCACTTAACCAAAAAATTAAAATAGAATTCGAATGCAAAGATGAAACACAAATTAATTCTGGCTGGCAACTCAAACGACCGAATATGAAAATTTATCCATTGAAAAATGGAGATAAGCAATCTGTTGAACACAAGACACATTTGAAAAAGTTTTCTTCGTTGCGTAATGGTATCAAGTATCCGTGTGAAATTTGCGAAAAGTCATTTCCAACTAGGAGTTACTTAAAAAAACACATTGATGCAGTGCATAATCGTATTGTTTATCCGTGTGATATTTGTAAAAAAGCATTTTCATTCAAGAATCATCTTGAAGCTCATACAAATTCATTCCATAAAGGTCGAAATCATCATGACTGTAATGTGTGTCGAAAGACATTTGCATATAAGAGTACTCTAAACTTGCATATGAATTCAGTGCATAATCGTATTTCTTACCCATGTGACACTTGTGAGAAGACATTTTCGCAAAAGGGCAATCTAAAAGTTCATATTGATTCAGTGCATAATGGGCAAAAATATCACTGTGATATATGCGGAAAAAAATTTAAATCGAAGCAATATGTGAAAACTCACACGGATTCAGTGCATAATTGTATTTCTTACCCATGTGACACTTGTGGGAAGACATTTTCGCAAAAAGGCCATCTAAAAGGTCATATAGATTCAGTGCATAATAATCTGAATCGTTTCAACTGTTATGTATGCGGAAAGACATTTTCACAAAAGACTAATCTGAAACGCCACAGTGATTCAGTACATAATAGTATTTCTTACCCATGTGACACTTGTGGGAAGACATTTTCGCAAAAGGGCAATCTAAAAGGTCATATTGATTCAGTGCATAATGGGCGAAAATATCACTGTGATCTATGCGGAAAAAAATTTACATCGAAGCAATATCTGAAAACTCACATGGATTCAGTGCATAATTGTAATTTTTAACCATGTGTAATACTTCATTCTAATTCAGAAGTCAACTAATTAACATCATGTGCCATTTTTAAGAAAACATTTAATGTAATTTATCAAAAAATAAATAATTTATAGTTAATAATTTCTAATAAAATCACAAAAATTAAGTGCAAAGAACTTGAATTGAATTGAATTTTCAACGATTATCATACAAATTTTCCAAAAGCAAAGTAAGAATAATCTTATTATCTAGTTTTAAATTTTGAAAACTGAACAAATCCTGCCGTTTCTTTACTTTTAATAAAGCTCCACTGCCCTTCTTTTACATTTACCACGCGAATCTTCCAAAAAATTTACTTAAATTCTGCGAAGAAATTTAAAGAAAAACACAGAATTTTTCGAAAAGTACAAAAAAATAAGATGTATTTCTTTTTAAGGACGCATTCTTTAAAATAAATCTGCAACTACTTCAAAATTCTAGTTTTAAACTAAAGCTATTCAATAACATTGCGTAATTGTAACAAAAAAAATTACAATTACAACTATTATTTTTAAAATTTTAGGACGTAACTCTGACCCTTTGCAAGATTATTATGTTTTGGCTCTTCTTTCACAATCGCTGGAATAAATACTTTCGAAACTACTCCGGTAATTACTCCAATCATATGAAAAAACTAAAGAATTAAAAATATTGTCTTTTTTTCCAAAAATCCCATTTCAATAATGATCGTAAAATAATTGCAATTGATTACGAAACGATTCAACTTCCCGTTACACGGGAGATAATGTGAAAAAAATCGGTTCACAGTTGCTTTTTTGAACCGAGGGGGCGAGCAAAGAAATCAATCGCATTCACACGCACTTCGGTGTCGCGTAAACGATATAATTAATAATACAGAGCACGCGAGAGAGCAGCGAATATCGAACAACAACAACAACATCAACAACCAGGAGTATCTGCTAACTGCACTGCTTTCTCTTACGCTTATAAATGTGAGATTATTACTTATACCATCTGTGCATATGCGTGTAATGATGCGTATTCTGTCTCTCTTTCTCTTTTCGCTTAATCTTTATTGTTTGCTCGTTGCCACGCGGACTCGAATTTCGAGCTGCAGCTCTCGCGGGGATCGGTAGCAGCAGATTTATTATGCTTCGCATAGTATAGAGCTGAATGTTTGTTTTTACTTTGCCGACTTCAATTGCTAATTTACCGATAAACTCGTGTGTAATACGGGACCGCTTTACTTCTTCCTTATATCTTTGTTTGGGTTTTTCTCCAAACCAATAATGCGAATTTGAAACTTTCAAGTTTTTCTATGCAACAACGAAGTGTATACTACATAACTTTCATCCTTCCTGGAAATGAAAATTGTACATGAGAAAACGGCCGAAATCGAGTTGAATACCCTTGAACTTTTGTGTACGAAGTAGTCTTATCATACGGGTAATATAACCGAGCTTTTAGTTTCAGTGAACATCTTTTGTTAATATAATCTTTTGTTCGTGCACGTTTGATCAGGTATCATTACTTGCTGTTTATGAAAAATTCAATAGTCAACTAAACACTCGTCTTGTGCACATTTTGGAAAAAATTCTGGGCTAATCACTGCACGAGCCAAAAAATAAAAGTAACAATTAGCAGTTGTCTACGTAAGAAATAAAACATCGACCACAACAGTGGAACAAACGGTGTAATGATAGTTGACAACACGAGGTTAATATAGGACAGTCATTCAGGCATAATTTTTATTGAAATTAAAAAAAAACATGTGTATAAATATTTAGACATATTTACAATCATCATGTATGGTTTTTTGGTGTTTAATCAACTGCACTTTTTGTCCAAATTTCTTCTCGCACATGTTGCATACATCTTAACGACCTTCATGAACTGTCCTTTGGTGTCTAATTAATGAGTATTTTCGCCCAAATTTCTGCTCACAATTATCGCATGCATAATCTTTGCGACCTTAGTGGACTGTTCTTTGGTGATGAAGCAGTGGCTGCTCATGTACAAATTTTCTATCGCATTTGTCGAATGAGTAATCTTTGCGACCATCATGGACTGTCCTTTGATGTTTTCTCAAATTGCTTCGTTCCCCAAATTTCTTCTCGCACTTGTCGCAAGCGTAATCTCTTCGACCTTCATGAACTGTATTTTGGTGCCGAACCAAATCTGTTTTTAGTCCAAAACTCTTGTCACACGTGTCGCATGAAAAATCTTTACGACCCTCGTGAACTGTTCTTTGGTGATTAAGCAGTTGCTGCTTATGTCCAAATTTTCTATCGCATTTTTCGCATGGGTAATCTTTGAGACCTTCGTGTACTGTTTTTTGATGTACGAGCAATCGAGGTTTTTGTCCAAATTTCTTCTCGCACTTGTCGCATATGTGATCTTTGCGACCTTCGTGTACTGTCCTTATGTGTTTCAGCAAATTATGATTAAGTCCAAATTTCATCTCACATTTGTCGCATGAATAATCTTTGCGACCTTCGTGTACTGTTATACGGTGCCTCAAAAAGTCCGATTTTTGTCCAAATTTCTTCTCGCACTTGTTGCATGCGTAATCCTTGCGACCTTCGTGCACTGTCTTTTGGTGAAAAAGCCAATGATTTTTTTGCCCAAATTTCTTCTCACACTTGTCGCATACATAATTTTTGTACCCTTTATGTACCACTGTCTGGTGTTTGCGTAGATACGAATTTCGCCCAAATTTCTTCTCGCAGTTGTCGCATGCATAATCTTTTCGACCTTCATGAACTGTCCTTTGATGCTTCAACAAATCTGATTTATATCCGAATTTTTTCTCACATTTGTCACACATGTAATCTTTGCGACCTTCGTGTACTATCTTTTGGTGTAAGAGCAAACTTACTTTTTGTCTAAACTTCTTTTCGCACTTGTCACATCCAAAATCTTTGTGACCTTCATTTACCGTCTTTTGGTGGGGGAGCAATTGCTCTTGTCCAAATTTCTTTTCGCACTTATCGTGTACTGCCTTTATGTGCAAAATCAAACTCTGTTTATTTCGAAATCTCTTGGCGCAAATTTCACATAAGTAATCTTTGAAAACTTCGTGGAATATTTTTCTGTGCTTGAGTAAAGTTGATGTATTTTCAAATTTTCTCTCACACTTGTTGCATGTTAAATCATCGCGATTTTTATGTACTAATTTTTCGTGCGTTAACAAACTCGATTGTTTAGCAAATTTTTTTTCGCAATTGTCACATGTAAACTCTTTGCGGCCTGTGTGTTCGGATATTTGGTGTCTACTTAGATGACTTCGGAACTCAAATTTTTTGTCACACTTAACGCATGCATAATTTTTTTGTTTTTTGTCAATTGTGTCTTGGCGGGTTATCATATTTGATTCTAGTGTAAATGCCTCCTGACAAGTATCAAAAACGTAATTTTTGTTGTCTGAAACAATGTCTTGTTCACTTAAATTATCTTGAGAGGTATCTTTCTCAGATTTCTCATCACTTTTATCCATTTTAATGTTAGAATTAAACGACGAATTTTCTATTTCGCGAATAAAATTTATCTTTCAGTATTATAGCTTGTTTCGTCAAGACGAAATTCAAACTAATTTGTTTTTACCATAAACATCATCAGTGTATCTAGAAATGATCGTTTATGATCATCTTGTTTCTTGTTTACAATTAAATTACCAATTTGTCTGTTTATACATTCATGAAACAGTTTAAAATTTTAATTTGATTCCTTCGAGGATTTATTTGGACTTCCAAAATTCAATTGATTTCATATCAAAATTTGAGACCCCTACGCCACAGTATGATGAGCGCGTTCAATAACCCGCCTCTGTCGAAATTGTAAAAATTATATATCTGCAGAACGCAACTGCAGTACCTATACCCGTTTTTAATGAGGATACCCTATTATATACGTATTGTATGCAAACAGTTCAACGAACCAATTACATAATCTTGCAACTAATCTGTAGATAAATATCGAATTTTTGTGTGACATCGTGGAAGAAAACGGCATCGGACCATGAAATTCTAGAATTACAATGATAATTTCGAGCCGGACAACTATCGCAATGCAATGCCGATCCGTCAGAAGAGCTATGAGCACCGATTCATATAACGCGCTCGGATCGAAGGACTTTTCACAAATAGATCTCTTGACTATTTCTGTAGAGTGTCCTAAGACACAAGTCCGTGGCACAACCAAGTCCTTCTTTTTAATTCTCATTTTGTTTTTATTGACAAATTAAATTCATTTTTCTTAGTCTCATGCGTACAATCCTTCTCAAATTTTTCAAACAAAAACGAATTACAGAAATATAAAATTAAAATATAAATTAAATTAATAATTCCTCCTTACACGCAATACGCGACCCAATAATAGTAATTAACCACAGCTACAGTAATTACTATTTATAATTTGTAATGTATCGATCTCTGACGTGCGTTTTCATTCCATAACAAGGTGAGAACCATTGCTCTGAAAGCTGTATAAGTATATATAGTCGAAGAAGGAATCAGAGAATCCTAAAGCATACACGGAGGGCGCGTGCGCGCGCACCGACTCTGTATTTTACGAAATTCGTCCCGTCGATACACGGAGTCTCCGTATGCTCCGCAGGCACTAGAATCTCCCCCGTTTGCACTTTGCACGCTATATAGGCGCGCGGTTTGCACGATGCGTGTGCGTATTAAATACATGTGCGTGCGCCGGGGCGTATAGTGACACAGCAGGATTCCGTTCGTCGCCGCGTCCCTCTTGCGCGTGGCTATCTCCGAAACTTTCTCGTTTCCATAGCGATGCGAAATGGACGACGCTGCGACAAGACAGCATGCAGCATGCAGTAGCAGCAGGAATCATTAGAGTCTCGACGAATCTCGATGCGAACGTCGATAAAAATGATGATAAGACATTTAATGGGCGGGAATTGATCATGAATTTATACACAGCCCCCCTTTGATTCGTTACGACCTCGATCAAAAAAGATATATTAGGTTCGATCGACGACACTGACCCTTAGTCGCCTTCTCTTCATTCTTCTTGGAGGGAGCTGCTTTTCTAGTAGAAACTTGAGCTCGAAGGTAGAACATGAACCGTAGTTCAAAAAATTTGTCTCGCCGTTTTCGAGTATTTGTTGCAACAATAATTTCATTTTATTAAAATCTTTTCTTTTTTTTTTTTTATCAAATTAATTAATTACACTAATTATTATATGAGGTAAAATGTGCAAAAAATCTTAAGCGTTTTTGGCTCGAATCGCAGCACGTTTGCCGGTAACAGCCTGAAAATTACAAGATAAAATTTTGGTGTCAAACACATATTTTTTTAAAATCTTTTTGATAAAGTATATGAAAAAAATTCTGACCTGGAAACCGCTCTTTATACTGGCTACGGAACACCTCGAGCCACATGTTTCACATTGAAGGAAGAATAGCCTAGTGTCCTTTTGCAAGATTGTATCAGGCGAACGACACGTATGGCATGTTACATACTCTTTGATGTATCTTCTTAAAACGTTTTCTATCTGTTTTTGTTGGAAACGACCTTTGATGATCAGCTGACTGTTACCGTCCACTGAACCACTGGTACCCAACTCAGCTAATAAAAAGTCCAGTAAATGTTTCGGTTGCCTGTGCAACGTTTTACAGATCTGCGAGAAAGAAATCATCACATTAATCGAGAATCAATAAAATGTAAGAATACATTTTTATAGTGTTTTCTTACCTCTGTGAAGTTTGAGAAGGAAGTTTTCTTTGTTCCAATACGCACAACCTGAGGTGGTCTCATGACAAACTTCTGTTTCTTGCCAGCGACCATGTCAGGGTTCTTTTCCTTCATAATGTTGAACACTCGGGCAAGTAATTCGTCATATGTGTAATCTCTGTCCGATCCTACCCACTGACTTGGTTCCTCTATAAAAATAAGTGTTTTTTAAAATAAATTCATTAAAAATTAAAGAATCTACTTCCAAATTTCTACATGCCTTATAGGATGTGTAAACTAAATAATAATTTTATCGATAACAACACAAGCCATGGAAATCAATCAGTGATAAAAATTGAAATGCATAAATTAATCGAAGGTGATGTATCAACAGAATTGTTATAAAATTGAGCATAATTTGTAGTTACTAATGTGACTATTTTAGTAATTCATTTTTGATAAAATACGTAAATAATTTGTTAAATGATATACTATAGATCAAAAATTAATATTGTTGTACTAAAATTGATCAAGTGCAATACTAAGGGCTTCTTTTTATCATTATGTCTTACCATCATCTGCACTTTGCTCGAACTCAGTGCAGCATGTTAACAGACAAGGCACATCGTATACATCTATGCTTACAATAAATATGAATACATAAACTGTGTATAGTTACCATTCTCATTGTTTTCATTCTCCTTCCTATCTTCAATTAATTCTTCTAAATCCTTCTTCTTCTTCTTCTTCTTTTTCTCTTTCGTAAAGTCAAGATTCAAGTCTATTTCATCAACTTCGTTTTCCTCAACCTGATTGTCGTTATTTTCCTAAACAAACATATATCCGTCAGAAATGACACAACAAGTCATCACCATGCAAGTGAATGAATGATGAATTATACCTCTTTTTTTGTTTCTGGCAAAGCAGCTTCCAGCTCCTCCAAATTGAACTTTTTCTTTTTCTTCTTCTTTTTTCCAAAGCTTTCCAGGTCTAACGCTTCGTCGTCCTCGATTGGAGCTGGATCCACCTCCATGTTCTCTTTTTCTGCCTTGGAGTTTTCGCTGGCATCCATGCCAACATTTCCACTGTCAGCGATGGCTGCATCCAAGTCGAAGCCGGTCTTCTTCTTCTTCTTCTTTTTTGTGAGTTTGGGATCAAACATCTGAGAGGAGAATCATTTTGGCAAATTAGTTTGGTTTATTTTTCGATTTTGCGGTTTTAAATCAAATCATTCAGAAAGCCTTATTAGGTATCGTACAATCAACTTTAGAAAACCAGTATCAAGTATATGGAAAACTTTCTTATAAGAGCAAGCAAAAAGCTAAAAGTATGACTCTGAAAAGCAATCAAGGGGAAAACAGCATAAGTAGCAGTAAACCGGTGCAGAATTTTTGCACCAGCTCGAAATCACCACCATCATCGTCGTCGTCATTCTCTCTGTCTCTCTTGCACATTCTACATTGCTGCTGCAGCAGCAGCCGCAGCCGCAGCAGCAGTAGCAGCAACGTGTTATACCAGATTTGGAGGTTGTGTCTCTTTCATCATAACCATATCGACCCTGACTCAGAGACATCAACACTGCAGCGAGTGGTAGCCGAGTGCATGGCTCGAGGCTAAAAAGGCAATAAACAATGGCATTCATGCGATGAACAGGCCGTTTTATACGGCAAAAGTAGCTCAATGTTGAATCGGCTAGGCGATTCCGCGAGACACGTGTGCAACACGCGTACCGCTGCTGGAGCCACACATTTCGGAGTAACGACGATTATTATATTGGCGAAAAGGGGTTAACAGCGGCATCGGAATATGCGTGAAAAATCAGGAGTTTTATTTATTTTCTATGCAACAAAAAACTCACCGCGTCCTCTTCCGTCATTGTGCTTTTTTTTTTAATGAAATTGTCAACAACTCGGAGACTCGTACACGGGAAGTTTCACACAAGACTAGCCAGAGAGGCAGCCTACTGATTCTGCCTTCTCTTTTCAATTCTCACTCGATCTTATATTTTTGACGCTTCGCGTCTCTTTCCTGAACACTTGGTAGCCGTAGAGTGGCAGAATTCGGGGCCGCGATCTCTCGCTCTCTCTCTCTCTCTTTCTCGCTCTACGCTTGCTTGCGCGGATTGCATCAGACAAATTCGGCCCGCCTCAGAGGCATCGCGAGACATAGATGGGCGGCGGCGCGAACATCGAGTTTCGTAGAGAGAAGAGAGTAGAGACATATGCGCCCGAGCGGGAGCTTCGAGTCTCGCGCCGACAGGGTGAGCCACGGTATACGATTGTCGGATCATTATTCCGCGTTGGTAAAAGCGGGAACTCTTTTGAAAAGGTGTTGAGAAAAAATTGAAAAAAACTCGAGTTACGTTCGATATCGATGGTTGATATTGTTTAAAATTTTGTAAAATATGTTTTGTTTTCGTCGGGGAGTATCGCAAAAATAAATTACTTGCAATGCACGATGAAACTGCTCTTCATGTGGGGAATGATTTTAACATAATAAATAAATTATGTGTAACTAATTTTTATAATTTTTATAACGTCAATGACATGCACTTCAAATTTGCTTATTTTTTTTCATTTACAAAGACTGAAAGAAAGAAAATTATTAATAAATATGCGTGTCTTGAAATGCACGAGGAACCTATTTTTTTGTCCTTCAAAATTGAATTGATACATTTACCGGGAAATTATTAAATTTCATTGAAGGCCTCAAAATATAAATGGCCTATAGAATTTTATAGATCATATAGAAACAAAATTCGATCATTTTTAATTGCAGCTACATAATTTTTCTGAAAATATAATGTTTGAAAAAATTAAATTATTTTCATAGGATCATAATTTTACTTAAGGAGGTTCGATAGTAAACTTCATGTCTTTAGAAACGCCTGAAACTTTTTTATTTCAATCTTTGATAAGAACTGAATGCACTGTTAAAATCTTAGATTGATCTACAATCTAGTTTTCGAGAAAAAAAAAATCAAAAACGACGTCTTATACATGGGTCTTATGGGGAAAGTTACAACAATGTCACAAAAAAAGCATTATGCAAACGAATTAGTCTTAAGAAATAAAAAAAAAACTATTTTTTAGAAAGCCAAGAAGGTATTGATCATTTTGAAAAAAAAAACGACTCGTTTTACAACACCGAATGCTCAATAAACAAGTCTAAAAACGTGAGATTCTGAGCCACGCGAGCCGAAATGTCGCGTTTTTACACGTTCATCGCTGTATTTCAGCTATTAAAAATAAAATGTACTCTATGAAAAATATGTATTTCGATGGGAAATTTCCTCAGCTTTCGATTGAGACTACTTTAAAAAATCTTAAAAATGCGCTTTTTGAGATATTTAATGTTAAAAGTTTATTTTTACAATTTTCCGTGGAAAATGGAAAATTTTTGAAAATCTGACTTCATCATCGGAAAGCTGAGGAAATTTCCAATCGAAATCATAAGTCACATATTTTTTTTAAGTGCGTTTAGGGGGTTTTTCAGCGAGATAGAAGTTAAGCAGTTTCGCCTATAAGTGCCGTGCGGCCGCTGCATGCTGTTTTGCTAATAATATTTTGTTTTCATGAGTTGGTATCACTACTTCGTGCCCGTGTATAAGCATAGGCGACCCCCTCGCCCCGCCTGCCCCTTGAAAGTGCTATCGAACCTCCTTAAATAACTATTTATTCAATTAATAGCTCATACGTTGCGAACTAGTAAGTTTCCACTGTCAAGGTTTAGGTAAAAATATTCAAAAATTTCTGGATCATTCCTTCGCTGTCCGATGATAACGTCACTCGGGTGACACGCAATTTACGCATAGGCTATCGGTTATCAATAACAATAATTACGCAGCTACTACACGTTGACAAGCAAAAATCGTAGAATCGTCGTAGTCGCGCGTCGCGTTGTAATCGAAAACCACACAAAAATGCCTCCCATTTTTTCTCTCGCGCTTATTTGCAACCGATGCAGTGCTCTCGCGATTAATGTATTTTTTTTCATGTTCCACAACGGCGCATCGCCTCGAAAGACATATTAAACATGTCTTTATTAGTCACAACAATCGCGCGGGGCTCGCTTTTGTATAAGCAGGAGGAGGAGGAGAGCTGGAGAGAGAAAGAGAGAAAAAGACGTCGAGACAAAACATCCATTTAGATTACGATAATGGCGTGTACGTACATATGCACAGGCAAATTGCATACACATGCATTTAATACATACGTATAATAGTGTAGTTTGTGTTGACGCTTGCACTCACACACACATACGTATAGGCTACGAACGATATTTCCCAATCATTTTTAAAATAATTTATATCGATCATCCGCCCGTCGATCGATCGCAGCCAGCGGCGCGTCATCCTTCGATATTATGTGTCAATGTCAATTCCGGTGCAATGTTTTTTCCGCGATGCACCGGATGTCGCGCGCGGACAGAATTGCGAGTCGCGGAAATTTTTCAAGTATACATTATTACGGTATTTATATAGAACAACAAAAATTTTTAATCGACAAAATTTTCCCAATCTGAAAGTATCGTCGCAAGCGCAAAAATTCCAATTTCTCGACGGCGGCGGCGGCGGCGGCGGCTCTCCTCGGTGGTAACGAACTCGTGCTGCATATACGTCGAGTCGTCTCGTCTCGTCTCGTCAATTTTTATTGGCACGATTGCAGGGGCATCGTGAATATAATAACTCATGTATACGAGTACACGTTATATTATCAGAAACAGACGACGACGCGCACACACATGCACCACGAGATTCTAATTTTGACGCAATCTCATTGCAACTATACATAATAATAATAATTGAGTCTCGTCCGAGCGCGCCCTCGATATCGATTCGCGCGCGCGCGCGCATATACTATATCTATATAGCAACGCCTGCCGGAAGGAAGCAGCCTATATAAGATGCACCTGTGTGCATATGTGTCTATGTACGTATTGGTGGTGGAGCTGCCTTCGCGGGCGCGGGAATTACGAGTCCTTTCTGCTACTACTACCACCACGCGTCGCTCGATATATAGGTGCTATTATCTGGACTAAAGAAAAATACCGAGACCCGACGTAGAGGAAATCAAAAAAAAAAGAAAAAGAAGAAGAAATTATAACCGATTACGCACTCGTAAAAAATAACAATGATTGCATATACACACGAGCCCCGCATTTAGATATATTATTTATACAGTCGATAAGTTTTATAGCTCGATCTGGGGATGCTGCTGCTGCTCTCGAATCATTCAAGCTGCGCACAGCGGTCAGACACATTTGTTATGACAAAAGTACATAAGAAAAAAAATTTTTTCGCTCGTTTATTGCGCCTTATCGCGACTGCACATACATTGACTCGAATGTGTATACGCGCCTCGCGTCGAGAATTAACGAACGATTTTTTTGCATTATCGCAGAAGAGAAAAAGAGAGGGAGAGAGAGAGAGGAACAGAAGAGTTGCGTTTGTGCATGCGTCGTGTCCAGATTTTTCCGTCAAGGTCGTGCATCAGCTCATCTCGAATCGGCCGATTGATACTGTACAAAAGCTCTCTCCCTCTGCCCCTTCTCGATATCGTACAAAGTTCGAATTATAATAAGCGCGTAAGCTCGAGACTCGACCTATGCACGTGTTTGCGCGCGCGCGCGCGCTAATTTTTCGCGCCAATTTTTTCATACATCGTGCCACCCTTCCAGTATCACCAGTCACCACCACCACCACCACCACCACCCCGCGCACCGACACAGCCCAGAATCTCGCGACCGAGCTCCTAGACGCATACCTATACAGGCAGGAGCTATAAATAATAAAAGCAAAAACAAAAAAGAAAAAACAGGAGCACTGCTCGCGCCTGTTCACAAAGTGCTGCAGTGTTACGCTGCTGCTGGCGGGGGTAGTAGTAGGTAGCAGTGCGGCTGGTGGGTTCGTGCGTTGCCAGGCTGCTGCTGCTCGTGTGCGCTGTGCTCCGCTTCTTCCTCTCCGTAAGAAGGGGTAGTAGCTTTTCTGCTGTGTATACCTGTATATTATAGAGTGAGACACGAGCCGCAATGTGCGCTACTCGGAACATGGCCGCGTGACTGGAGACAGAGAGAGAGTAAGGAGGATATAGTCAGGGGCTGCTCCTCGCGAGAGAGGGTGAAAAACAGAGACAGCGGCAACAAATAACGCGTGTGTGTACGTATGCTACGCTATTATATTATAAGATAAGAAAGAGTAGGTGTAATCGCCCACAGTGTGCTCGCGCACACAGCAGATAATCAGTCGTCGTCTGCAGCAGCAGTTCGCGGAGTTTTGCGCGCTATAATACGCTGCACCGCGCGACTGAGCTCAGAGAGAGCTCCCGAGAGCTCGGCTAATACTCGAAGCGTCATTGATTGATAAGTAAAAAAAAAAAAAATTCGCTCGCACGAGCGTTTCTCGCTGTCTGTTTACTCGTGCGTGTGTGCCCGTGTGTGTGTATGCGAGCGTAAGTGTATATAATACAAATTTATAATCGTTCGGTGGCAAAAATTGCGTAACGAACGAAGAAGAAATCTCCGTCGGGAGTTTGCTCTCGGCACAAGTTCGGAGAGTCGCAAGAGTTCAGTTGGGCCTAAGACGACGTGACGACGAGACACGTACGTCGAGATGGACTCATCGTCATCAGCCACTACGCGTGACAACGACGAGGTACAACGCGTACACGATCTTTGCATCCTGTTTTTTCACATCACGCATCTTTGTACATCGTCGTAGTTTGTAGTTCAGTAGCTGTTGTGTTTTTTAGAGTAGTAGACGATTTTCCTTTTGGTTTTTTCTTTTCGCGAAATTTTTATTTAAAAAACAAAAGAAGAAGGAACTAGAGCCAAAAAACAAAAAAACAGTGTGCATGTGCGCGCGAGTGCGTATAAGCGCACGCGTAAGCAACAGCAATGAGGAGACGACAGGAGTTGGTGCACGTCGTCGAGGTCGACGTGGAGGACTGCTCCGCTCGCCTGACCAATGGCAACGTGGGCACCATCGCCAGGAGCAACAACGACAACATCGTTAGTCCTCGAGTACACAACAACGTCGTTCGCGATAAAAACGACGAGGAAAAATTGGAGGCGATCGAGCTGTCGGAGATCGTCGTCGAGTCCACGACCACGGAGGAGGACAGCGGCAGCGACGCCTCGTCCCAGGACAAGAAGAACCAGTCGCCGCACCAACGGAGCTTCACGCGCCGCGAGTATCTGCGACGCTTCGTCGAGCTCTCGATCGCTTGCTTTTCCCTTTTCTGTTGTTTCGTTGTTTTCGTCAGGAGTGAGTAGTTATATCTAGTAAATAGAAAAAAATAAAAAAATAAAGACTGGGGCTGGACTAACTCCTTGTATTTTTTTTTTTTTTTGCTTGTTTTATCGTCATCTCATTCATGGACACTCTTGGGTGGCGCACGAATGGGACGATCCGCCGCACCGCATCGGGTCGCGCGCGCGGGTGTACCCACACGTGTGTGTGTATGTATGTGTGTGTGTGTGTGTGTGTGTGCTAGTAGTGCTGCATTATATACGATCGAGCGACTGACATACACACGTTTGAGCGAAAGAGCAAGAGAAACTGTGTCGAAAAGTCGATTGTACGTGTGTGCGTGCGCGTGTGTGTGTGTGTGTGTGTGCTGGTACTGCGGTCTTTTTTAGCGCATCGACTGGAACCAACGATTCTCTCCCTGTTTATTTATTTATTTTTTAATTTAAAAAACCGCGCGACAGGTTAAAAGTTTTTGTTTTCCCAAAATTTTTTAGAATTATTTTTCGTCTTTTCGATGACCCTGACAGACAGCGCAGCAGAGAGAGAGATATCGAACGAGTATAATATACGAATATATATATTTACATACATTATATAGCGCACGTTTTTTTTATCGCGCAATTCTGTCTCTCGATTCGTGAATAAGAGCTACGCCGATAACGTTATATGCTTTCGATTTTTTTCATTCATATCCGAAAACATCACATACGAATATACTAAACGAGAGGATGAGCTTTTTTAAAAAGCTCGCCGAAATCAATGCATGTGTGTGCATGTGTGCAGCGGCGAAACACCCTCACGTGTGCCGCATTCGCAGCTATATATATACGCTATATACCCTTAAAATAGAGCTCGACCTATTGTGCATGCAGCTTATCTAATATGCCAACCGCACACAACCCGAGTAACCCCCTCCTCCTCCTCCTTCCGCTTTGCAGTTCAACCGAACACTAATTTTTCGACTACGTACGAAATTCGAGCTTTCTCATCGGTCGATAAAAGCTCCGCACCGTTAACACACACACGAATACATTTCTTTTTTTCTTTTTAAATATTTGTGCAGCTGCGTTCGTGGTGATAACTGGCGAGTACTTCGAGGTCTGGGAAATGGCCGTGGACATCTTGGACGTCGACCATCTGGCCGTGTCGGCCATCGTCACGGTCGGCATGCAGATGATCTTTTTCACGGTGGCCGCGACCTTTCAGATGGACAAGCTGACGGACTTCGCGGGCGGCGTCAACTTCATCATCCTGGCGCTGCTCACCTTCTTTCTCGGACAGGTCGGTAAGGTGAGTCGGCACGAAAAAAAAATCCATCTACAAGGGGAGAAAAAAAATATATACAAACGTTCGACAAAAGTCTTGTTAGACGTGTCGTTGTGCGTGTCGAGATTAGCTCTGTGACGATGTGATATTTACGCGCGAAAAATTGCGTAATGTATCTCTTTAATATTATTGACTGTCTTTTCTATATTCTGGGACTTGGAATCCTATTCTATATCTGTAGATATATATTCTCGTAGAAAATCGTAGACGATAGTTGGTTTCCTTTTTTTTTTCTATAACTATACATATTATAGTCGTATTTTAGTACATTTACCGATCACTCGATGTCTGTTACATATTTTTACTTTCTCTCTGTCTCTCTGTCTCTCTCTCTTTCTCTTCAACTGTTAAAAAAAAAATCTTGATATATATCAACCGCTAAGCCAAAACAATATGAAAGAGAGTCACACCACCAACGGGCAGCGGCGGCGACGGCGGGTCATACGACACACACGAGCCAAGCCGAGCCGCGTGTATAATCTCTCTTTAATTGCATACGATGATGTTTTTTTTTCTCTCTCTCGGTCTTACACATGTCGGAGTATATAGCCGCGCTGAGATAAGAAACGTGCGGTGCTGACGTCTGTTATTATAATATATATGCTGCATATATACAGCAGCGGACGCCGTCGGGCCGAATTTGAGAGACTTTTATCATGTTGTTGCGCCGCCGTTGTCGATTTTTCGGACTTTACGGAATGTATACGGTATTAAAAATAACGCGCGTCAAATCTGTAAATGGACTTATTATAACGGTATAGCGAGAGTTGTTTAGAGTATATTTAATTGACAGATGTAGGATTGTTAGTACGTATAGTGTTTTATTAATGAAAGTTGATTGACAATTGAAAAGTACCACTTGCGAAATAGATAATAGAGTTTTTGTACAGAGCTGTAACGAGTAAAAAAAAACCAAGTAGAAGCAAAGTTTTGGGATTGGATATATACAAACACACTTGTCTTGCTTATACCATAGATGTATACACTTTTTTTTTATATAATAACAGTGTAATTTGCATGCTTGTTTTATTTTGCATCTGCTCGATTTTCTATAAATAATGTTCTACTATTTCAGTGTTAGATTTATAGTTTGTTGTGTGTAAAAAAAAATTACTTAAAAAAGATACTCTAAATTAAAAAAAAAAAAAGATATTCTAAATTAAATCATCGTTGATTAAATAGAATGTCCATAATTGTGCATGCAGTTTGATGTTTTTTTTTTTTTTTGGAATAATGATTGGCACCGGCATATACACGCGGATCTCTTTGAAAAAAAAGCTAATATAAATTTTGCGCAGCTAATATTTCTGCTTGCTTTTGATGCAATTAAAGGAAAAAAGAAAAAAAATATGAAGAATCGTCCCAATCCCAAATCTTTCCCGTGTGTATAACGTATTTATAAATTAATAGAGGCGAATGTTTGTAGATGGAAGTGCCACTCAGTATCAAATGTATCTCTAAAAAAATATATTACAAATACAATATACAATGCTACAGTTTGTGCGCGCACGGAGAAAAATTATTATCATTCTCTTCAACTTCACAATTACTCCGTGCAAGCACAAACGATTACAAAAAAAAAGCGAGCAACAGCCGTGTAATCGATCGAATCAATCCCCAAACAGACCTACGACAGTCGCCAACTGATGGTGACGGTCTACGTGTGCCTGTGGGGCGCTCGACTGAGCTGCTACCTCGTCTATCGCATCGTCAAGATCGGCCGCGACAAGCGATTCGACGATCGCCGCAGCAACGTCATACGCTTCGCCGTGTTCTGGACCTTCCAGGCCATCTGGGTCTACGTGGTGAGTCTGCCCGTGATCATCATCAATTCGCCGCGGCACAAGATACCGCCGAGTCCGAAGACCATGACGACCCTGGACAGCGCGGGCACGGGCATGTTCTTCGTCGGCCTGATCGCCGAGACTTACGCGGATCTGCAGAAGTTCGCCTTCAGGCAGGATCCGGTCAACGACGGCAAGTGGTGCAACGACGGTGAGTATATATAGCAACGAATCTAAATTTTCATGCGGATTCGATGTTGAGTCTGGGGGGGGGGATAGAATAACTAGTTTACGGAACCGTTAGATTTTAGATAAGTCGTGATCAAGTTTTCGAGCGCCAAATATTCTGTAAAAAGTTTGAGCGTAAATATTTATGCATAAGCGTTTTATTTAAAATATGTTTTACGCGATTTATTCTTTGAACATGAATTGACAGGTACATTATTTTTAATGCAAAAATAAACGAAAAGCACTGAATTTTGTACTAAAATTAAAACAAAATTTTATTGAATATTAATGTTTAAATACCGATTTAGTTTTTGCATTGATTGTACAATACGCGTGTATGAAATTTCAATTGTGATTAAAGTCGGCTTCAACCGCTAGATGGCGAGTATATTTCTAACTGTAAATCTGCAAGTGGTAAAGTGAAAATAATTGTATAAGCCAGAGCCCGGTTTTTCTCAATCTGAATTAGTTATTCGTAAAATCTCAAGGAAGGTTTTAAATGTTCATAATCTGATTCATGTTTTAAAAGGGTAGAGAATTGAAAAAAAAATAAAATACAAAATACTCTACATGAAACTCAAGTCTTTGAATTTTAATTCAAACTAGAATAATTTAAATCTTTTTATATGGATCTGAATTCATTCAATCGAAGGGAAAAAACTCCCTCCACTTACACATGAATTTTAAAGTAAATATTCGTGTAAGTCAATCGATATTGTTTTTGATCGTAAGGCCTCTGGAGGATGTCGCGCCACCCCAATTACTTCGGCGAGATAGTCGTCTGGTGGGGCATCTTCGTGATCTCGCTCAACGTGATCGAGGGCTTCGAGTGGCTGGTCATACTCTCGCCCATATTCACCACCATCATCATCCTCTTTCTGTCGGGCATGCCCCTCCTCGAGAAGGCCTCCGACGAGCGTTACCGAGAGTAAGTAGCACGGGGAATTATTCTTTGACATTGACTCATATAATTAATTGAATTTTTCTGTGCACCTGTATGTATATATAGCAACGCCGAGTATCGCTACTACAAGCAATCGACCTCGCCGCTGATCCCCATACCGCCGGCGATCTACTCCGAGGTGCCCTGGTTCCTCAAGTTCATCCTGTGCTGCGAGTATCCGCTGTACGACTCGCTGGACGCGAAGCCGCGCGCCGCCGTCACCGAGTCGACCTCGATAAGCCTCGCCGCGTCCACGTAGCTATAAGCGTGCGTCGGTCCGATCGTGGTCGCGGCGCAGACTAATAATAACGACGGCGGCAGGCCAGTAGTCCCAGCGATGATTGGCCAACAACAACAGCAGCAGCCGCCGATGATGCGACTCGCGACCGGTGATCAAAATCGGCGCACGTTAAATTTCCGAGTTCAGCTCTATTCCGAACAGTACGAGATTTTCGTTATATCCTTGTGAATTCTTTGAACGCGCGTGTGTGTGTGTGCAAGCGTGAGTGAGTACGTGTGACTGATACTTTTAAGTAAAGTTAAATAATCTTCCTCCAAACAAATTATAAAAACAAAAAACAACCAAAAAAAAAAACACGTCTTTTATACGATGAAAAAAAAAAAAAATAATAATAATACTCTCGACTCGCTGCGTTGTCTTCCTTACAAGCTCTCCCTACATACGACGACACAATATACAAAAGCAATTCTCCAATCCACCGCAGCGAGAGGACCTCCTGTATACAAACGCGATCTTTAATTATAAAACGACGTCTTTTCTACTACACGATGATGACGATGATGATGATAATTTAATTACAATTATATATACTTACTATACTTAAAAGTTACTTTGTATAATTACAACAACTGCTTCCAGATAACATATTCTTTGTTCGAATGATATACTATATGCTGTAGCGACACGTTGATGCCGGATTACCACAATCGATGATCCACGATATGATAATACGTACGAAAAATCGATAACCGATCGGCATGTGTAGGTAAACGCGTGTGCGGGAGTGTAAATAAATAATACGAGTATGAATCAATATCAGCGCACTTTACATATAGACTGTTATCCCGATTGTCGAACTATACATAAATATTAATATTATATTTATAAATTCGTATATGAGTGATCGTTTTTTAAAAAAGCTCCTCCCCAATTCGAATCGCGAACGAGCAATTTTTATCCATCGATGACTCTATATTATACACTGTTTAGATTTAACGATGTTATTTACGATATTATTATAGGCTAGCAAAAAAAAAAGATATCCGAGAGTAAATTTTCTTTTTCCAATTTTCAAATGAGCGTATGTAATTTTAGCTAGTCAATCGTTTGTTATTTTATTTTCTCGTTCCAACTAAAATCCCGTAAACATTTTTCCGCTCGAACGCACGTGTTGAATTTTTTAAAGATTTAATCATCCGTTCCACATACATTGATATTATAATAGAAGTTATTGAGGAAAAAAATGAGTATTAACATGCATTTCAAAAGTGCCATATATATTATGTATACATCGTACCTAAAAACTGAATATATTATTAATAGAAAGGGTAAAAAACGTGAGAAGAAAATATTTTTATTTTTGAATAGTAGTCGATACGCATTCTTTCTTCCGATCACAGTCTGAGAAAAATTTAGTTGCCAAAGTATGTAAAAAATACTGCCTCCCTATCTCTCCATTGTTACGACGCACTTTTGAAGACAAAAGAAAAACCCCTAAATTTTCAAGGTGAAAATATTTTCTTCCACGGAATTTCATTGATGCACAAGATTACATTATATATCATATATTGTACGCCAGGAGAGCTGTCGATATACGTGTATGTATATGATTCCGGCAAACGATAAAAACTTATGTGGTACTTGTAACTTTTTGAAAGCAGACCAAATGATGTGATGCGTATGTGCTATATGTATATCGTAAGTTCAATACCGAGCCAGAAAAAAAGTGAGCGTGACAGAGACGCGTTTTCTTCGATATAAATCGTCGTCGGTTGATTTTTTTTTTGTCGTTGTTGCGTTTTGCGCGCGAATTTAAAATTTTATACGTTCACCGATATATCTGTGACCCTCTTGGCACGCGACGCGACGCGGGCGCGCAAAAAAACACCCCAGTACTGGCACACAAAAGTGAAATATTATCCGATTTTCGCTCTATCTTCTCTTTCTTTCTTTTTTTTTATCATCGCGCAACATTCAATTTTGCAATCTCGCGCATACATTGACCGAGTTGGAAAACTTTATATCGACGAGAAAAATCCTCTCAATTTTTATCGTATAGATAATGCACAAAGTAAAATACTATTGAATTATTGAATCCTTCGAGTAGAGTCGCGCGCGGAAGCTTCGTTAGTGCCAATTTTTCAGTCAACTGAAAAATAACTACAGTCACACACTTTTTAAAACTATAATAATAATATAATGTAAAAAAAAAAAAGTTACGTGCAAATCGTTGACCGAATTTTCTTCGCCTCTTAACGGCTGTAATGAGCCCGTTCACTTGCCGCGCAACGCGTGAATTTTCACAATATGTACCTGTTATACTTGTAGGAATATATGATTAAACAACAAATGTTAAAAAAAAATTACGTCGATGCTCTGCGAAAAAAAAATTATCTGATCATTCATTTTTTTTGTGGTACATTTATTTCGAGCAAGAACAAAATCAAGTACAAATTACACTTATAAGAGTGCATACTACACTTGTTACAAGTTTCGTGCATCCATCCAGATGAAAAAAAAGTACTGAAATATTAATCATTTCGTTGTCTCAAACAAATCAAATTTTTTACAAAATACCATAAAATGATATTTTTGCGCTAAGCTTGCTAATTCACTGCTAAAAAAGACAGCAATATTCAAAACAATAAAATAAAATCAAAACGCTAATTATACTTTTAATGCGAACTCAGCACCTCTCGCAGTTACGCAGCGAACGATGTACAAATTTGATTTTCCCAGAAATGATCAGATCGTAAAGTCAAGAGCATCTATAAAATAAATCATACTATTACGAACGAAATTTTCTCACGTGCACTTAAATAAAATGATAAAGAAAAAGCACACTTTATAATATAGGAAAAAAAATATATAATATACCTGAATAAATAATATATTTATGCTATCGAATCGCCATTGTTACGTAAATTTATCAGCATTTTGTCATGATACTTGGTAAGGGGAGAAAGCGACCTGTTTCACTTGTTGTAAAGTGGGCAATTATTTCGACGAAGAGAGAATTGTTGAATGAGAATATTAAGCTTAGAAGATTTAATTGTAAAAGTAGCGTATAAAATTTGCGCGCATCCGAAAGTAAGAGGTACATTTTTAACAAAACTATACTTGATTTGAGATTAAAATAAAACAACATGCTTGAAGTGAAATCACAGGTGCTTTGTAATGATTTAAATATTTTTGTTGTACTGCTCTATGAAAATATAAATAAACCTCGAAAAAATGTATCAATAGCTGTGCGTGCCATACTATGAATATTACAGCTTTGTGAAATGAACTTTCGAGCTTCTTCAACGTTGAATAGCGAAAGCAAATTAAGCACCTCATAATTACATAATTAAGTAGATCTTTTACGAAAAAAAAGTAAAAACAATTAAACGTAGATGATAAACGAAGTAAAAAATGGGCCTTTAGATTAAACGATATTTTATAGAATTACAATAACGTAAAAATTATTTATTACCAAGTGCGAATACTAAGTAAACGTAGAAAGCGAGAAAAGCGGATATAATTTTTTTAGAAATAATTGATAGAAAATAACCATTGTACGAAGTAAGAAAGGAAAAAAAACTATTATCGACATATCTCTAATCTTAATATAGGAAATACATTTTACGATTTTAAATTTTAAAAACGAGACCATAGGAGAAGAAAAACTTGTATATTAACGCCACAGTCTAATCATCTCGATTTTCTCATGCAAACTATAATGATCTATAGAAAAGTACGAAGAAGCAAGAAAGTATAAGTAAACTAGAGATTTTTGGATCGACAATTTTATGGTTAATATCTATAGTTGGCACTTTACTTCGAATATTTCTGTGAAACGGGGTGTATAGAAAATTCGTGTTATCAAGCTGTAATTAACGTAGCGACTTTATATTTGTAACGCGCACTTCGAAGAGAAATAAAATAATGATCACACAGCCTTTTTTCTTCGCTAAAAAAAAAGGAAAAAACGAGGTCGCTTTTTACAATGAGGTAGGGGGTGTGTACGGACGGGAGAAATATATTTTTTTAAAACGAATAACGAAACTGTAAGGCTATTGCAAATTACGATATTCGGGGGAGAAACGCTCGTTTTGGATTAATATCTGTTGCGATATTAAGCTTGTTAGATACGAAAAATTTTCAATGATTTTTCCCGTGAGAGAAAAATTCAAACGATCGATCCAAAAGTTATCTAGAGCGTCGAAAAAGACACAGATTTTAATGCCAAAAAAAAAAAACGTAAAATGTCATGGCCTGTGCAGCAGAAATGGTGCTTCATCACAGAGTTTTTTTTTTCGTAAAATCGAATTATATAGATAATATAATATCAACATTAAAAAATGAAAAATTAATCATACTGCGTTTTTATTAATTTATAATATTTCCTCATCCTTATTGTAATAATAATAACATTATTTTAATAATAGATTGGAAATATAACGATTTACTGAAATGAAATGGTTGAATTAAAATTTTATAAAAAAAACAACTATTTACTACGAGTAAAAATTGATATCGAATTTCTTGCTGACATGTCCTCACACTTACAATTGAATACAAAATGTATCTATTCAACCAATTCGTATCACGTTCTATAGTTCTTTTTTTCAGGTCAAAATTTGCTATAATTTCTTCTACGTTAGTTAAAATAAAATCAACGTTCGAGAATGTCAGTAAATTCAAATATAATTGAAGAAAATAATGAATTTTCGGGCTTGAGCACGGAAAGGTTTTTTCAGATTTTTTTTCATCAAACGGTAATATTAATAAAAATGATTTTCGCGTGGCCGTTCATGGATAAAAAACTTAAATATTTCGGAAGATCAATCGTAGTAACAATGGGATTAATATATGTATCGAGTTCGGTAGGTAAATGTTGACTTTTTTTATTTAAATTTTAAAAAATCTTCAATTTGTTCAAGTTATGGAAATTAGTGGAAATGTTTCATGAAGAATCTGCAAAAAATTACGACTCAATTGTAGAATGTTTTTTTCAATTCATGATATCGTTGTGTTCCTCCATTTCATATACACTTTTAATGAGTGCTGATGAAAAGGTCGAAAAAGAAATTACAACAATTCGCTAATTTTACTTTTTTATAAGGAGACAAACATGACTTTGTTTGTTTTTAGACAGAACAAACTTTAAAGATCGCCGTATCAATTTTTAACAAGGAAATAAGCGTAGCAGATCAAAAATATTCAAGCAAAATATTGAAGCAATTTTCACAAGAGAGTATTTATCTATGGAGTAAGTTTTAGATATATGTACAGTGTAATAATAATTCATTTTATTAATTTTTTTATTTTACATAGGCTTTTTTTTATTACTGTGTACTTCTTCTGAATACCGCTTGCTCTCGGGGCTGCTAAAATTGGAAAAGAGAATATACTTGCACGAATTAAAATTTTTTATGATTGATCCAGAGAAATATTATTATAGCCTAATCACTTTTCGCTTGATTTACATTTGGGTTTATGGTTTCATCACAGCGACACTCATGTTTTATTACAGGCTAATAACAAGTTATTTAATCTTACAATATCAGATAATGAAGTAAGCTTATAAAGGTGAAAAACTTTTGAAAATCAACATTTTCATTCAAACAAAATTTTGCAGTATGAAGATGAAAAGAATCGATCAAGAATATAATTTCAAAGTGTCTATAGAAAAACAAAGTGCAAATCGCTGGTTGAGTCAACAAATCATAAAATTAATTCATCATCATCAAGAATGCACCAAGTTTAGTATCGAAATAATATTTAACAAAAGACAAATTTAAGTTATGATTCCTTTGCAGATTGTTCGACTCTCAAAAAGATATAATTAATTCTTTGATGTTCGTTGCAATTTTGGGAATTGTTATAAATGCAAGTGTATGCGGATCCTGGGTAATGAAATAAGTTTTATTTCATTTCAAAATTCAACAGAAAACTCGAAAAATTTTATTTTCATGCGTAGATGGTAATAGTTATTAAATCCGGCTCGCCATGCACTGGAACTTTACTAATATCATTCTTTGGATCCTTTCTATTTTTATTTTTGTGTGTTTATCCGAGTCAACAGATGTCCACGGCTTGTCGTCTTGATGATTTCTGGTAAAAAAGTCAATTTTATTATCACTGTTTGTTTTCTTATAGCTACAACTTTCATTGCAGCTTCAAGACTTGCAATTGGTACAATTATCCACCGAAAGACAGAACCTTCTTATTACTAATTATGATCAGAGCATCGAAGTCTACGATTGTATCTGCTGGTGTTGCAAATTTTCCAGTGAACGTGAGAAGCGCAGGAATTGTGAGTAAAATAAAGTCAATGAATCACTTTCAAACTATTGAAATGTTTTGTTTTATAGGTAATGAGCAAGGTCGGATCGTATATTATGGCTTTATTATCATTGTACGATTAAAAAAATGAACAGTAAATTTAGTTTATTTGTTATACTTTTGACAAAGAAAATATTTTTTTAAATTAAATTTACTTAAGCATTATTATTTAATAAGCTTTTATTTAATTAAACTTACTAAAGATTTTATTTTGAAATTAAGTTGTCAACTTTCTTAGGCTTTACTTTTTCGTGGGATTTGGTTGATAGCATAATGCTGCTTTGAATATTTAAATTTTCAATTGTAAAGAGATATATTATTAGCTCGCAGGCTTTTATCTGAACTTGCTGTTATCTGTCAAGAGTTTTTTTGAATTATTTAGTTTTAAAAAAACCCCTCGGAAAAATCGTCGCTATGTTAGAATTTAAAATTTTTTGAAGATCGCGAGAACAAGGTATAAATACATAAATCTGTAGTATAATTGTAAACAATGTGATCATGATCGATGTTCATATCGTCATTTGAACCAGATCATGTTTATCGTAAACAGTTTGAATGTTGTCTCGTCCTACGAAACGTCGTAATTTTCGTAGCACTAAATGAAAGGATCCATCGTTTAATTCAGGCATCAAAATGTATGTAAGTGATAAGAAATCCCCTGCGAACACAATTCACATTCAGCAAAAAGATTATGCATGTTATAAGTGCGAAAAAAAATTTCAGTTCCGAAGTCATCTAAGTAGACACCAAATATCAGAGCACAAAGGCCGTAATGATTTTGCATGCGACCAGTGTAAGAAGGAATTTGTGAAACAATCCAGTTTATCTACGCACCAAAAATTAGTTCACAAAGTTAGCAAAGATTTCCCGTGCAGCAAGTGCGAGAGGAAATTTGAAAACAAATCCACTTTACTCAGGCACAAAAAAATATTCCACGAGGTTTTCAAAGATTACTTATGTGAATTGTGCGCTCAGAGATTTGTTAATAAACATACTTTCTACATTCACATAGAAAGAATACACAAAGGTCGAAAAGATTTCGCCTCGAAAGATCACTTATGTAACAATTGCGGAAAGAAATTTGGATGTAAATCGAAATTGCTCTTGCACATAACAACAGTCCACGAGGGTCGCAAAGATTATGCATGCGATCAATGTGAAAAGCAATTCGGGGTTCAAAGCAATTTAATAAAACACCAAAAGACAGTACACGGAGGTTGCAAAGATTATGCATGCGACACGTGTGAAACAAAATTTGGACAAAAATCAGATCTGTTGAAACACCATAGAGCAGTACACGAAGGTTGCAAAGATTTCGCTTGCGACAAGTGCGACAGAAAATTTGGAAAAAAATCAAACTTGTTCGCTCACCAAATGATCGTCCATAATGGTCAAAAAGATTTTCAATGCAACAAGTGCGACAAGAAATTTGGATTAAAATCGACTTTGCAAACGCATCAAAGAACAGTTCACGAAGGTCGCAAAGACTTCGCATGCGACAAGTGCGAAAAGAAGTTTGGACAAAAAGTAAGTTTGCTCTTACACCAAAAGGCAGTGCATGAAGGCCGCAAAGATTACACATGTAAAAATTGTGAAAGGAAATTTGGGATTCAAAGTAGCTTGAATAGACACCAAAGGGCAGTCCACGAAGGTCACAAAGACTACGCATGCGACAAGTGCGAAAAGAAGTTTGGACAAAAAGTAAGTTTGCTCTTACACCAAAAGGTAGTCCACGAAGGTCGCAAAGACTACCCATGTAATAATTGTGAAAAGAAATTTGGGGATCCAAGCGCTTTGATCAAACACAAAAAAACAGTCCATGAAGGTCGCAAAGATTTCGTATGCAACAAGTGCGAGAAGAAATTTGGATATAAATCGCATTTGTTCGTCCATCAAAAAATAGTCCATGAAGGTCGCAAAGATTTTGCATGCTACAAGTGCGAGAAGAAATTTGGAGATAAGTACCATTTGCTCAGACACCAAAGGATAGTCCATGAAGGTCGCAAAGATTTCGCATGCGACAAGTGCGAGAAGAAGTTCGGAAGTAAATCAGATTTGTTGAAGCACCAAAGGTCAGTTCACGAAAGTCGTAGGAATTTTGCATACGACAAGTGCCAAAGTAAATTTGGACAAAAAACGCATCTAATTGTTCACCAAAGAACTCTACACAAAGGCTGCAATGACTACGAATCCGAGAAATGTGAAAAAAAATTTGGACAGAAAGTGTATTTGCTCAAACATCAAAAAACAGTTCATTAAACCTTACACCTCTAAACTAATGGAATATGAATAAAATTCATATTTTTTTTTGAAAAGTGTAATTTCAATCGAAGAAAAAATTGTAGCTCAATGAAACTGTTTACAAATACTTTAACGGCCTTGAACTGTATGAAAATTTTCTTCAAGTTTTTTAGTGGTATCGTGCCGTCTGCTACAACTGTTTTCTCGTAACAACTTTTTTCTTGCTGACCCACATGATTAATGAAGAAACCATTAATTTTATCGTTCTGAATTTTAACACCATACTTCGTACATGTTTCTGCTAAGAATGAACTAGAATGGACGCAAACGATACAATATTTGTAGAGTTATCAACAGTTTTCGAATTAAAAAATTTCGATTCTCGAAAAAGTAATGTAAATTCGTTATCTTTTAACAAATGTTTCTCATTCTAGTTCATTCTGAGTAGTAACATGACCGGATTATTGTCTCAAAATTTAAGAACGATAAAATTACTGGTTTTCTTTGAATCATGTGAACCGTATTTTTTTGTATTTATTTTTTAAAGTCTGTAGCAGACGACACTGAGTCTGAAAAATTTCGGAAAAAATTATTTTCTATAGTTTAAGGCCAATTAAGTGTATGTGAAAATGTTCATTATGATTTGTCGTTTGATTCTCAAAAAAATAAACTTTTGAAAAAAACATTTTTTTGTAGTCTGAAGGTGTAAGGTCTCAAAAATTATTCATGCCACGATTTCTAGAAAAAGTGATCGATAATTTTAAATATGTATGTAGTTACTTATACATATGTTTTTCTAAAATTTCAATAAAAATATTGTGTGAATGATAGTGTGTTACCATAACCTGGGATGTTTTACTATTATTAACCTTCGTACTCCGTCGTCGTGGTGTTTTATTTTTGAACCAGATTTCACGTAGTGCTAATTAATTTTTTGGCCACTTGGTTTCTGAATTTATTCTTACAAAGATTAACCAAAATTTTTTCACGACTCGTTTGGAACTTTGGACTATGACAATTCGTTTCCGGCATGAAAAATCAAACGTGGAAACCATTAAATAATTCAATTCAAACCAAAAAATGTTTCAATACATTTCTTCAAAATTGATTTTGGAGACTATATGCTCTCTCGTAAATATTTTTTGACGCGTGCCACATAGATACCTCATACACGAGATGGAATGCGGTTTTCCCTCAATTCTACTCGGTCTTAACTCTCTATGAACCTATAGTTTTCGTATTGTTAATGATCAATTATGAACGGCTGTTCAACTATTTAATTTCAAATGCTAAGCAATCACGAGTCTCTGATTTTTTTTTAAGATACAATAAATTATGCCACAATTAGAATTTTTTATCATTAACATGATTTTTCTTGAACGCATCCTCTTGATCTATAAGGATACTGTTTTTTACTCGGTTTTTTTACGCGATACTTTTGTAGTTTTTTTAAAAGGAAAAAAATTCTTCGAAGGAATCGTCACCGAGTTAAAATTTTTAATTATTCTAAAAGTCGTGGAAAAAGGTATAAATAGACAAATTTGTAACATAATTGTAAATAATTAATGTGATCGTGAAAGATTTTGATATCGTCCCTTGAACACTTATTATGTTTATAATCAAATCAAATCAGTTTGAATGTTCTCTATCTCGAGGAAACGATACACAATACCAGAACATCTTACTCATTCAATTTTCGGGAAACTAAATAGAAGAATCTATCTTTTAATTTGAGCACCAAAATGGATAAAGGTGAGAAGAAATCCGAGGAAAGTATCTCGGAACATAATATCAGTGAACACGACATTATTATTTCAGATGACAAACAAAACATTTGTGATATTGACCGGAAGACATTTACACTGGAATCAAGCATGATTACGCATCGAGACACAATTCATGATGAACAAAAAGATTACACATGTGACAAGTGCGAAGAGAAATTTGAATTCCGAAGTCATCTGAGTAGACACCAAATATCAGAACACAAAGGCCGCAAAGATTTTGCATGCGACATGTGCGAGAGAAAATTTGTGAAAAAATCGAGTTTGCTTACGCACCAAAAATTAGTACACAAAGATCGCAAAAATTTGACATGCAACAAGTGCGAGAAGAAATTTGAAAATAAATCAGCTTTACTAAAACATAAAAAAATATTCCACGAAGTTTTCAAAGATTACTTATGTGAAAAGTGTGCGAAGAGATTTGGAAATAAATCAAGTTTGCTCTATCACCTGAAAACAGTACACGGAGGTTGCAAAGATTTTCCATTCGAAAATTACGAAAAGAAATTTAATGATAAACAGTATTTGTTTTCGAATCGAAGGATAGTATGCAAAAATCGCAAAGATTACGAATGCGATGATTGCGAGAAAAAATTTGGACGGAGATGGGATTTACTCAGACACCAAAAATCAATACACGAAAGTTGGAAAGACTATACGTGCGATAAGTGTGAAAAGGAATTCGGACAAAAATCGCATTTGCTCTACCACCAAAGAATGGTACACGAAAGTCATAAAAATTTCCAATGTGATATTTGCGAGCGAAAATTTGGAGAAAAATCGAAATTGATTCGACATCAAAAGACGGTTCACCAAGGTCATAAAGATTTTGCATGCGACAAGTGCGAGAAGAAATATGGGCACAAAACACATTTGATTAATCACCAAAAAATAGTCCACGAAGGTCACAAAGACTACGTGTGCAACATGTGCGAGAAGGCCTTCGGACTTCGACATCATTTGCTCGTGCATCACGAAACAGTACACGAAGGTCAGAAATATTTCGCATGCGACAAGTGCGAAAAAGTATTTGGACAAAAACCGAATTTGCTCACCCACCTAAAATTAGTCCACGAAGGTCGCAAAGACTACGCATGCAACATGTGTGAGAAGAAATTTGGACGAAGAGCGGATATGCTTTCGCACCAAAGGGTAATACACAAAAATTGCAAAGATTTCGTATGCGATAAGTGCGAAAAGAAATTTGGGGATCTAAGCACTTTGATCAGACACAAAAAAATAGTCCATGAAGGTCGCAAAGATTTCGCGTGCGACAAGTGCGAGAAGAAATTCGGACAAAAACCTCAATTGCTCGTACATCAAAAAACAGTACACGAAGGTCTCAAAGATTATGCATGCGACAAATGCGAGAAGAAATTTGGGAATCCAAGCACTTTGATCAGACACAAAAAAATAGTTCATGAAGGTCGCAAAGACTATGCATGCGACAATTGCGAGAAGAAATTTGGACAAAAACCTCAATTGCTCATACATCAAAAAACGGTTCACGAAGGTCGCAAAGACTTCACGTGTGACAAGTGTGAGAAGAAATTTGGGGAACGAGGCACTTTGATCAAACACCAAAAGACAGTACATTGCAAAGATCATGCATGCGACTTGTGTGAAACAAAATTTGGACAAAAATCAGATTTGCTTCGGCACCAAAATACAGTGCACGATGGTCGCAAAGATTTCGTTTGCGACAAGTGTGAACAGAAATTTGGTGAAAAATCGAAATTGATTAGACACACAAGAACAGTACATCAGGGTGTCAAAAATTACGCGTGCGACGAGTGTAAAACAAAATTCTGGGATCGAAGTGATTTGATTAAGCACCGCAAGACGGTCCACGAAGGTCGCAAAGATTATGCATGCGACATGTGTTGCAAGAAATTTGGACGTAAACCCGATTTGTCGATACACCAAAAGACAGTACATGAGGGTCGTAAAGATTATGCATGTGACAAATGCAAAAAGGCATTTGGGGTTCAAAGCAATTTGCTAAAACACCAAAAAACAGTCCACGAAGGTCGAAAAGATTTCGCATGTGACAAAGGCGAGAAGAACTGGTGAATGACGATAGTAAATAATCTGTAGATATTTGTACATACGTTTTTTTAACATTTTAATAAAAATTGTGCCGAAATGATAGTCTTATATTGTAATGATTATCATTACACCTTGTGGACGTGTTTTATTTTTGAACCAGATTCCGCGTTTGACTAATTACCACTCTCTATAAATGCTACCATTATGCATCGTATTTCATTTCACAAGTTCACAGTTGAAATTCAAAGTCGATTTTTCTGTTAATTTCACTTCTCTAAATGTCTTGATCGCCAATGAATAAGCGTTCGTCTACGCCGTGCGTGTCGAAAGTCTGCTGCCCTGCGCGGTCGTGACTTGTTAACGTTTATTCAGTGTCGCGCAGTTTGCACTCTGCAGTGCGTGCTCGAACGAGCCAAGCACAGCTCGAGATCCGCAATTGGAGCGTTCTTTGTTACACAAGATAGTTTGGCGCTTTTTTTCCCCTCTCTCCGCACTTGATATACATCTTTGAGTATGTGGTGTGTATACGTCAGTACACGTTACGACTCCGCAGCGTGAACAAATAAGAAAGATCAACATCATCATTTTGAAACAAAAAGTAAAGCTTACCTCAAATTATAAGTGATTAGTTCAACGCGAAAGCATTTCGAATTTAAGAGTTCGAAAGACATTCAAATATATATTTTTATAAACGCCAGTGAGTGTGTGTGTGTTTTAGTGTACAGAACGATGGCCGCGGATGATTTGAGATTCTCCTTGATTGCCATGGCTGTGTGTGCTGGCCGCACGGAACTGTCCAAATTGTTTCAAAAAAATCAAAAGGACCCAAATTTGACCAATGCCAAAGGATTGACAAGTCTGCACTTGATGTGCAAGAGAGACCAAGACCACAAAATGATGGAGGTGTTCTTCAAGATGAACAAAGAAAACCATCAATCGGTGAGAGTCGATGCCCGGGACAACGAGGGTCAGACACCGCTGAATTTAGCTGTGGTTCGAGGCTTCAAAAAGGTCACTGAAGTATTGCTGAGAAACGGGGCGGATCCGAATTTGTCCGAAGAGGGTGGACAGACCCCTTTGCACATCATTTGCGGCAGAGAACGCGACGATTATGACTTTGCGCATATGTTCTTCGAAGTAAATAACGAACTAAATCAGATCGTGCAGGTCGATGCGAAAGACAAAATGGGTCGAACACCGCTACATTTAGCTTTACTATGCCGTCACGAGAAACTGGTGAAACTACTGCTGAAAAACGGCGTAAATCCGAATTTGGCCGACGAGGACGACGACGACGACGCCGATGAGTTGGCGCAGATGTTATCCAAGGTCAGCAGAAAAAAATACCAAACGGCGCCACGGGTCCACGTCCAGGCCAAGAATGGCGACACACCATTGCACTTGGCCATTTACAGCGGCCACGTGAACACGATCAAAATTCTGCTAAAAAATGGCGCACGTACAAATTTGATCAATAAGGAAGGATGGACACCGCTAAAATTAGCTGTCAAAAAGCTGTCGTTTGTTTTAGTTGATCTTCTCTTGGATCACTGTGCCGATCTGTCCAGCTTCGATTTTCCTGCCGAATATTGGGATTATGATATCGAGGATATCGATTGCAAATTTGAATTAGCATCTGGCGTTCTAGCATTTATTGAACATCTCGAGAACAGAGGATATCAGTGCGACTCTGTAAAGATTGTGAAACTGTTCATTAAGTGGAAAATTTTAAAAATGTCAGAAGATCACGAAAAACGTTGGTACGATAACGAGGAGTTCGCACGAGATGCGAAAAAGATGAAGGTCAGAGACGGTGATCCGAGTCTGTCGCTTTACGACCTGATTCGGCCGCGATCCGAAAAGCCGGCGAAGCTGCTCACGTACAAAGACTACTTCCGCTTCGCTAGATCAAAAAAATTGCGCAATCTAAAAGGGAATCACGAGGCTTGCGCCGATGCTCATCTGGCCGAGGAGATTTCGAGAAGATTTTTCCTGGACTTCGCCCGAGAATCTTTCATGGAGCTGACGAGTTGCAAGTTGCCTATCCTATGCTGTGACATAATAATCGAGCGTTTGAATCGTAAAGATTTGTGGCGCGTTTGCTTGGCGGCTGCTGGCCAATGTTCATAATGACGTTTGTAGTATTTTTTGATGGCGTTCAAATAAATGAATTAATCAAGAAAAAACTTCTTTTTTTTAATCCTTCCTATAAGCATACGCACGACCATTTGAAGTAAAAGATCTCAAATTGACTATGTGACTCGAAGCTTTTAAAAATTAACATATTCGCCTGAAAAAGTCGTAAAACACAACTCAAAAGTTCCAATAAATCGTCGGAGTTATCAGAACGCAGGGATTTGTTAGATATTTTAAAAAAGACTTCCTACGGAAAAATGAATATTTGTGCGTGTGTGTGTATGTTCTTTTGTTCATCAGAGGTCTGAAATAATAAATTTATATTTCGATGCATAAAACGTGTATCTTTACGGCGGTTTTCTCATTCATTAAATCAGCGCCGCTTACAATTAGGTCGTTGTGTGATAAGTTGATATTTTTTTATCAATCATTCTTATTTAACCGGAAAGACTACGTTAACTTACTACTAGCTTTTTTTTCAAAACTTGAATTGCCAATCAACGTCTGTAGAGAAATATTAAATCAATGCTCTGATTTAATAATAAAGAAAAAGATCAGGTCACTAATTGTTAATTTAAAAAGTACATTTTAACTTGATTATCTCAAATTTTCTTCACAAAGTTATTGTTGTAAGTTAATAATCGTTTGATATATTTATAATGATTGTGTTTATGTATTCATACATTTGAATAATCCACTTGCTATGGTCACTAGTGTGTTCAAACCTGCCCTTTCTTAAGAAGTACATGTACAAGTACAAATGATTATTTGAAGAGCAACGACTGGTATAATTCAGTGAATTCATATATGTATTAGTTATGATATAATATAAATATTTCAAAATATTTCCAACTTTGATAAAGTAGAAATTCGATTCTGAGCATCACCCTTTATTTTGTGGCAGCGATTACAAATGTATCGATTTTCTCAATAATATGGTGTAATCTTTGTCTCACTCGTTAAAAAACAATGGAAACAAATAAAAAAAGTTGACCACTGTTATTCTTTTACTATGCAGTCGGAATTCAAAGAATGAGTTCTAAAAAAAGCATGCTTCTCGTAGTTTTTAATACAATAGAAAAGTTTTCAAACATTAGAAACAATATAACATTTTTCTTTGAATATGAAAATGATAAGAGCTTGTTTTTTTTCATGACCTTATAGTGAATACTTTTGTTTTCATAGTAGTCGAACGTCGTATACATAGAATCCCTAAGTAAAATAAAACTTATTATAAAGCCCAAATTTTAGGCACGTGTACGAGCATATGGGTATGCATATGAGTATTGAAAGGTCTCTTAAGGACTGTATAACAAATTCAAATTAATTATTTATCCAAAAACACATTCTTTTGACATTCAAGAGTCAAAATAACGCAAATAAATTCTCTTCTTTGATTTTTTTTATTGAAATGGCTTTACACTTGAAATAATAGCCACAGAGTCTTTTTTAGGAAAAGGTGCAACTATGCCACATTTTTTAAATTTACTTCAAGTGTATCATTTGAAAAAAAAAATTAGATCGCGATCTTTCAACCATGATAAAAATTTTTCAACGGTTGGAATTCGGTTTTTTTTTTAAATTATGTATAGACATACACTACATGGCATTATAAAGACAAAAAAGGTTTTCTCTTACGTAGAACCTGAAATGTAAAATGATCGAAAGGTCGCCGTAAACGACAATGTCCTTTTTATAATCTGAAGACAAATGTTTCAATGGCAACAAATCATTATTTCTGTTATAAATTAATATAATTGGTATAAATCGAAAGACTTACATTGCTGCACGTTTCGAGATTTAATTCAACAATCGACCCAGCCTCTAGTACTAAAGGTTTCATTGACCTTAACAAAAGCAATATTACCATGAGTCTAGCCTTAGGTGGATATTCATACCAATTGATGCAATAACTACGAACGTGAATTTTTTTAATAATTTTTAATTTTTGTCAATTATACTTATTTTAAGTATCCGGAAATCTCACGATTTGATGTACATATCATGGCTGGCATTGCTAAGAAATTGACTAGGAACACACATACATGTGATGGCAAACAAAGAAAGACAATGTACTATTAACATTGTAATAGCTGTTCCTCGGCTCGTATCCATTAAAACTACCATCTGTAATTGATCATTGAATATATTATGAATATTAGTAGGATATTTTCATTGATATCTATAAGTTTCAAGTAGAATCAATTATTCTCTTCGTAATATTTTTTAAATTAAATAACTCGTCTTATATATAATAGGTTTCATACTTACTGTGGTACCACTTAAAATGATGTTACACGATATGCACAGAATAACGACAAACATCAATGCATTGAGCAAGTTATACAGTTTTTTGAAAAGACTATAAAATCAGGTAGTATATATAGTTTCAATCTTACCAATGTAATTATTTTTGAATAATTTGTCTAACAACGAAAAACATTCTGGCCTTGACATCCCCTAGATACATATAAAATGACTTACTGGGTGCATTCGGTGTGGTGTCGTATTACTCGGTTGAGTTTTTTGATGAGATATCGGTGAGCATTATCTCTATTTTCATCCAGCATACGGATATACTCAACATCCGTTTCTTTTAAATAATTTCTAAAAGTATGTCAAGTTAAATTACCAAAGTAAATTAATAAAACTATCAAAGGCAAAAAAACATCATCAAGAGATAGAAGCAAACTTCTCGCGTACTGCAATTGAAGAAGTGCGCCAATGATAAATCCTATCGATGAGAATTCGTACTGGCTCAACGATGCAACTATACAACTGTTGAGAAAAAGAAGGATCGACTGGATTGCATAAATTTGATAGAAATACTCATCTTCGTCCATGAAATAATCCCAATTATAAGGCAATGATTTTTTAAATGTTTTATTTCCTGGAAGTGCCCAGGTCAGTAACTCTGGGATAACCGTTGAAGCTGCACCGGCAGTTAAAGACATTATAACGAACGTCACTACAAAAATGTATTTTTAATTGTAGAATTGGTCAGTCAGTCCTGAAGAAACTGATGAAGGGTTGGGTGAAACGACAATTAGGTCACGAAATTGGGTTTTTTTCATTTTCATGTACCATACTATTTTTAATAAATGTTTGACTTAAATGGCTTTAAAATCGTATTATTTTTCTTATATTACTTAAGAAGGGGTAACGATACGTAAAATTACCTGTTAAAATTGAGTTTAAGGTCATGAATCTTGTAACTGATTGCAAAATCACTTTTTGACCTGAAGGATCGTTGTCTTGAAATATTCTGTCCATCACTGCCCAACAATTCTTAACCTAAATGCAATTTCGGAGAGGTATTATAAGGTTGTATAGGATTGGGCAATTCATTAAAAAATTATATTAACCTTTTCGTACTTCAAAGCTATGTAATCATAGGAATATATTGTAACGAAACCAATTATAGCTTGGCATAAACCCTCCAGAATCCGACTGTCAGCACCTCCTTTTTGGATGCCTTCATACATCTTGAATAACTAATAAAAGTCGGTATTAGAAAATAATTCTACAAGAAAATAATTCATATTATCTCAACGATACATACCACTCCAATTATTGAAGCAGAAAAAAAAAGATGAATTAATAATCGTCCAACGGTTTGAGTATATTTACTTTGATATGGCCATAAAAAACACATTTTTAATACTATTACCTGTATAGGATACTGAGTAAGTATTTGCCTATACCACCCTTGATCTTCTTGAATTTTTACTTGAGACATCATAGTAAATTTCCGGTGGATCGCCTATCCAATATACCAATTAGCATTGATCGTCTAAATGTCATCAAATTTTCTTGCTTTCCAGAAAATTTAGCTAATGCTAATATTCTCTTATACTAAGCAGTGAATTTTTTTCTTATGTCTTCAATGCTTCTCCAAAATGTTGGCAAATTTTCTCACTCAATATATTATGAAACAATAATAAAGACTTAGCGCAGACTTACACGTTGATAATTTATGCAGAGAGCTAAAGTGACATAGACCGCTTGCCTGCTAAGGCAAATCAGATCGTGGATTTTTCGACTGCTAAGGTCGAATTCGAGCCCGAAGTGGTTTGAATTCCATTATAAATGTAGGACCATGGCTGGCGAGTCAGCTCTTGGAGCGTCGGTTAATGAACTCCTAAAATCCCTACATATCAAATAATATTATTTCCGCTAAATAAGTGAGCCTATCCTCTTTTTATTAGCTTAAATGGAAGAACTATAATTATTGTAATTAATTTATCAATATTAAAGGTTTAATTAGTTTATATTAGTGGTCATTCATATTATTTAATGTAGTGTCTATTCCGGGGAAAGTTATACGAAATTTTAGAAATCCCTCGGGTTCTTTGGAGTTTCTTATACGAAAATTAAAAATGTCGTGTACGAATTTTCCCCTAAATAGCCGAATCCTTATAGAAATAGAATTTTGCATGAGCAAGCCCTTCGCTAATGCATTGGCAGCTGTTTTGTATGCGGTACCTTTGATGCAAGGATCTACCGCGTAAAATGAGGGTTTTATGTACTTGATTTCGAAAGGCGAAAAAGTTCTTCAAAGGAATCGTCGCCGAGTTAGAATTATCATTTATTCTAATGGTTATGAGAAGATGGTATAAACAGATAAACCTGTATAAACAATATGATTATAAACGATTTTGATATCATTTGAAAACTGATCAATGATCATGTGTATAGTAAAATCAAATCAGTTTGAATGTTGTTTTTCTGGATGAAACTAGCTATGATAACTACCGTAAGGCCACGATGGTCAGACAAAACATTATGACGTCATACAATAGCATATGATGTCATCCATATGATGTCATCCAAAGTAGCCTCACGTATCTTACTTATATCGGATGACATTTTCATGCATTTGTTTTTTCTTGATGTGTCTTACGAATATCGGGTAGTATTTTCATGCATTTTTTGATATCAGATTTAAAAAAAGTAAGTGCGTATCTATTTTTTATAAAGAATTAGTTATAAAT